TGAAGTTGGTACACATTTTATTGCGTCTGGCTCTGTAGTTGCTTTAAATTATATTAAGCAAACTTTTTCAAGCTGCTATATCTGAAAAAAAAATCGATCTCCAACAGAGACTCAATCATAGATTTTGGACGCTTAAACGCATTTTACCGGCTCCATTATTTTGAACTTTTTATAATATTAATGTAGCGGAAAGCGTACAACGGGTTCTCCCACCACTTCAACCTATAGATATGGGTTGCCAATAAAATTTCTTCTGGCTCAAATATATATTGATATATAATATATTTGAGCCATTGGGAATTGTTAATCAATGGTGTATTTTGAGATCAACAGTGTCTGGTCAGAGCAATTCGTATAGTACTGTTGTTGTGTGTAACTTAGTGGATGAGGCAAGCTAAATTGAAAATACTAGCCACAAATTAAACGCAAAATACGACACAATAGGGCAGATAAACACAGGGATTGAGTAGTGTGCGTAAGCGATAATTGTAGTTTAATTCAAACAGATAAACCACTTAGTAACTGGCATATTGCCATCGCCCACTGTACATTGTTTGTTAATAAGGATTTTTCAGAGTTTTCAAGTCCTCGTCATGGTCGTAGAGTCGTGTCATTATAACATATGCGTGCCACATCTATTGGGAAATAATAAAACGATTGTGATTAGAAATAGATAATAAGTGTTAGGTAATACGATGTCATATAATTATTTCCTCCGATGACGCAATAAACATGTCAGTCAGTTTCCAAACGGGATATTACGTAATCAATAATCACAAAAGTTACATTAACCATCCTAGTATAGCGTCAAGTGGTCGAGGTTGTCAATTTCACCCAGATGAGGGTGCTTTTAAATTGCGGTGCTAAAGAGGGAATACAATTCGTGAGTGTATATAGGTTGGGACCTTGTCATTCTGACACAGGCTGTCGCCGACCACTTTTCCTTTGATGAGCTTTCCAAACAATACACAACTAAATATATATATATATCAACAAAGATGAAAGGTGCACATCTGGTTATCCGTCCATTGTTAAAATACAGTATATTGCAATGTAATATACCATATAAGAATCATTATATTTAAGATTGAATTACACATCTAACATTTCTTGTATACAATACCATGTATATTGATCTTCCGTGTATACTTAAATATCAACAACATACCGTGACATTATTGTGTTGTAATTATTGCCGCGGATCTATGAAAGTGTTTATAAAGCTAGTTTGCATACATAAGTGTGACATACGAACCACCAATATGACATACGAACATTCCGCGATCAATTTCTTAGCTAATACGTTAATTAAAACGAGTGACACACTGGCATAAAATAGTGCAGTG